GAGCCAGGTTACACCATTTCTGCCAAAACTGTTCATGATGGATCGTCATCGTAACAATTTATTATTCCACCCTGACCGTTCGGTTGTTTTCGGGAAAAATTGATCGTGTTACGTATCGCTGCTTTACCCATTAGTTCACGTAAATTAATTTACCACCGGGAAAGGGAACTTTTATCGGCAATGCAACACGATCCATCTGTGTCGTTGTTTTACAATTTGGTTTGCGTGTTTGTAACACTTTCACAGAAGAAAACATCAACGTGTTTCGTGTAATTTACATTTTGCAATGTTCACATAAATTTCTGGATCATTTAAAATTCTTTTCATTGGAAACTAAAGCTATCCAATGGGTAACGAGAACATCAAAAAAAGACAAAGAAAAAAACCTGAGATTAATCGATGAAGAATGCAAATTTTTCTAGGAATTCTTATCCTTTACATTTCATAAATAGGGCGTGTAATTCCAAGAGAAATAATTTTCTAATCATTTTTAGAGAATAAATTTTTTATTCATTGTGACGATTTAAAGATTTAGTTTTAAAGGAATGAGCGAAATACAGCCTCCAATATTTGGTGTTTCAATTTTTCAGGAATTAGCTAAAGGTATCCTTCAACATTTGGTATTTCAATTTTTAAAAAATGACCTAAATAAAGTTTTAGAGATTAATTTTTTAAGGAATGAGCTAAATAAATCCTTAGAAATTCGAGGATTCAATTTTTCGAGGATAAGTTTAATAATAAAGCTTCCTAGATTTAGAAATTCAATTTTAGCGGCGAGGCTAAATAAAGCTTCCGAGATTTAGAAATTCAATTTTTACGGAATGAGCTAAATAAAGCCTGCATTTGGTTCGCAAATAGCCCTCGATGGCTTTCACTGGCGTGGTCTAAAGTGGCTGCAGGCTGAAAACGGTTAAGCGAGGTTAGAATTTCGGAAGCGACGCCTGAATCGAGCAGTTCTCGTTTGCAGAACGTTCAACCGGATCAATACTCATGTGGTGACGATACGTCGTCCCGTTTCGAAGATTGCTTTTACGACTCGCCATTTATTCGATTGGCCGTCTATAGCAGGTGGCTATAGTAGTTAAAAAGATTCCATTTTCAAGAGGCAGAAGTGCTCGCGAGTAATTGTCTGCCCCCCTTGAGATAGGTGCTCCTGATTTCGACGCGAAGACGTAGTACAGCTTAACTTATTCTTACGATTCGTCTCAAAGGAGCGATCAATCTAAATTTCAAAAAGTTTAAATCCAATTTTTCATTGAACATACTGTTCATGTTTTATGCTTGGAACACCGTATGAAAACTGTGAAATGTTTTTATTGGTGTTAATTTCGGAGATACAGTCTGCTTCATATTTACAACCCTCCTACAAATCAACATTCATTTCCTATTAGAGAGTGGGTATTTTCACAAATGTAATTCAACATGGTAAGAAATCTGCAGAAAAAGATTTTTTGCTGAAACATTGAAATGTGCAATAGTTCTTCTAAGCAATCTTACAATTCAATGATTTTTGTGTAATTTAAATTATTGTATGCATTTCAAGACATCAATAAAAAATCGTTCTCTTTAGGTGTTCTCATCATGTTGGATTAACACGTTGACTGACAGGTAGGAGATACTTCGTAGTTAAAAGATTGCAAAGAGGCTGGACTTGTTTACATACTCTTGCAAACTTTTTGCGTAATATTAATATCGCAGGATAATTTAAAACAAGACAAACAGCCTCTATTAACTAAACGTATCTATTTTCGATGATTTATGACTAAAAAAACGAAATAAAATGTGTCTAGCTATGTACGTCCGTTTTCACTGTGGCAGTTAAAATGTTAAATTTGTGAAAATATCCTTGCTCTGATCGGAAATGAATGTTGATTTCTAGGTGGGTTGTAAATATGAAACAAAGTGTATTTTCTTCTTTCACACTAGAACTACCGACGATGATAGTTTATCTATTTCAACCTATTTAAACCGACTTGAATCTATTTCAACCTATTTAAACCCATTTGAATCTATTTCAACCTATTTAAACCCATTTGAATCTATTTCAACCTTTTTCTACCTATCACTGCCTATTTAAACTTATTTCAACCTACTTTTTACCTATTTCTCCCTATTTCTCCCTATTTCTATCTATTTTTATCTATTTCTATCTATCTCTGTCTAAGTCTATCTATTTCTATCTATTTTTATGTATCTCAGTCTAGGTATATCTATTTCTATCTAGTTCTGTATGATTCTATTCTGCAGAATTCTGTAATAGAAGAAGAAAATATAGTTTTACAATGGTTTAACAAGTGTCATGGAATCAGTAGATGCACATATTATATCAGAATTGAATACACTAAAGTGGATTGCAGAAATGTGACGTCGCACTTAAAACATTTCAAATATTTCAAATGATTCCGATTGAAAAGATGATCTCTTTAAAATTCCGATTTCAACAGACTCTTCCGAAAGGTAACAGAACGTAACGAAATCGTACCCGTATGTACGATGATTAACTGAAATTCGATGTCTCAATTAACGTTTACCCGTAGCAACGACACGGAATGAGGCCGCAGTGAATCGATTTGATAACGGGAGAGTTTATCGAGAAATACCCCGCCATGAATACTAGCCGGTTACGCGGTCCACAATTTGCTATTACGATGATGTTCGTATTTTGCCGCGAGCAATTGGCCAATTACTGTACTGAATATTATTGGGTACGAGTTTCATCGGTAATGGGCCGTATGCTAATGAAACTGAAACTTTAATCTACTCACTTGACGTTTACAGGTCCCGATGGTATATGCATCGAAATGGAAAATTTTGCTAAAAGAATTGCGACCTTCGGTGTAACTTTAATTATACATACCAATGAAATTTTACTATTTCTATGTATAAATTCAAGATTTTATGCAATAGCAAACACTGGCCAAAAAAATCGGTATTTTCAGAAGCTCAGGGAAAATTTAGAATTTATTGGAAAATTCGTTACTTTACTCTATCTGTTCGTTATGACTATTATTGATTTAATTTTTTTAATTTTTTACACTTTCACTGTAAATACTACTATAATTAAGAAAGATAAAATATTTTTAAACACACATAGTATAGAATTGAACGTTTTTTTTAGCTCATAGCTTTCTTTTGCAAATACAGATTTATTCAGTAACATTCTTGGAAATCAAACGTGGAAACATATCATTTCACATTATCGGCTGAATTTTGCACGAGAAATCCACTTCTATACACGTGGTACCTACAATAATTACCGGAAGTTTGTTAAAATTAAACTGCAAGTCGTTTGTATAATAGTTCACTTCATAACTCATCCAGTTATGCAAACAGGCCATCTACGTTTCACTAACAGATCAGCAGCGAGTCGAGCGAATTCCCGTCATTCTGAATTCCAAACTCATTCCTAATTCAGAACTAGGTCAGCCACCAATTTTTTTTCTATAGTGATCGATACTGTTCGGGAAAATCAACTATGCGGTTTGTCCGATTCGACCTGAAACGTTAAAATTGATTAATCTTCGCAGACGCGAAAACCACTTTTCGAAATGTTCACTTTTCAGAACTTTTGACTGAATGTTTTAGGAGTAAAAAATATAATTCCAAACAGCGATGTTTCATATTTCCTACTGATGAATATTCATTGCAGAATATGCAGTGGAAAAATAAACATATCCAAATATTGTACTAAAATCCCATGACATTGCTCCGATGCAGCAAATTTTTCTAGTATTGTAATTCTGTGATTATATTCAGAGAATTTCAGCTTAACCTTTTTTTATTATTTTTGAATATTTAAACTGAACTCTTATGATATTATTCTGATGCAATAATTTTGTCCACTAGTGTAACTCTGTGATAAATTACAGACGTTGACATCTTAACTCTTTTAATCATTCTTAACTATTCTACTAAAATCCTACAATATTACTCTGTTGCTATAAATCTTTCCAGCGCTGTAATTCTCTGATTATATTGAGACGATTTCATCTTAACTTTTTTAATCATATCTAAATATTTTAACTAAAATTCTATGCCATTATTCCGATGAAATAAATTTTTCCAGTACTGTTGGTCCGTGATAATTTTGAGACGACTTTTAATCATTTCTAAATATTCTGGTGCAGTAAATACTTCCAGTATTGTAAATCTATGATAATTTTGAAATGATTTTATGACAACCTTTTACTCATTTCTAAATATTTTAACTAAAATCCCATGACATTCCTAGACTATGGATGTTTATGCAAAATCACACTTTTTAATAATAATACATTGCATGGGGTAACTATAAAATCACCCCAAAATTTTAAATTCTTATGGATTCTGGTTAAAATAAAACCAAAACACTTTTTTCTAAGGAATATAAATCTATCCTTTTCTTGAGAAACATTATTTCTCAACATGATTCCAGACATGGCATACTCGGCTTGTTTTTATTTTAACCACAACATTTTTTTTTATAGCTACGCCACGCAGTGTACATGTATAAGATTCAGAATTGAATAGAATTTTATTTCTTCCGCGAGAGATTTTAATATATTGTTAATAGTACATAAATACTGTTATATTTGATTAACAACCTTATTTCACTATGTTTTGCAGGCTAAACAATGCTAATAAATGCATAAACATCCGCAGTCTAGATATTACTCTGATCCAACAAATTTTTCCACTACAGTGTATAATCCTCAGTGAATCCATTCTATTCCCTCGGCTATTGTACCTCATAAATCCTTAATATCTACCAAATTCCCGAAAAGTAGATATCTCAGAGATGGTAGACATTAAAATTGAGTTCCGTAACCTGGATCGCGTTTTTGGATGCAAGTCAATTCCACGAGAAAATCCGTCCCGTGTCCGTCACTTTAGAAAGTCCTCGGCACTCCCAATTCTGTTTCGTTCCGGGGCTCGACAAGGGGACACACCGTATCGATCCAGGTCTGTCTCGTCTATCGGCGTCAACTTAACAGCGTTCTTTTCTTCCTTTCTGTTGACAGAGCTTTGCGACGCGGCGACGAAAATCCAGGCGTCCTTCCGCGGCCACATGTCGAGAAAGGAACAGGCCGTGGCAATCGCGAAAACGGCGGAGCAAGCCGTTGAGGATGTCGTTTCCGATCTGGACGACAAGGTAAGTTTCTTTTTATTTTCTTTTTCTTTCATTTTCAAAGATATCGGAAATCGCGAATTTGATTGATATAATATTTTCGCCGGCGACCTACTTTCTGGGGACAAGTCCATGTGTGTTTTCGTCGATCGTTTTTAAATTAGAAGTTTTTCGATCCCATGTTTAAGATCCCTGAAATGAAGTGAATTGGAAACCGACATTCGTGCAATAGCCTAAAATATTATTTGCTTTAGAATTCGTCTTAATGCTTATAGCCAAAATTCGTTTCCTTCTTAAAGAAAATGTAACAGAGGATCTCATAGGGACTTTCTTCTCGCACATTATCATTTTGAACGATTTGCAACGATATAATCGTGTGTCTGTTAAAAATTATTTCATACATCAATGCAGTGCACGTATGTTGAAAATTAGAGATTCAACTGTGTATCTTAAAGATGTACTTGTCACTTTATGTTACATAAGTGATATTCCACTAAGTACATTATAATTTTATTGGTATAATTGAATATATCTTTTCCAGTGCTCTAGAATAACAATTCCACTTTTTTTTTATTTCCGTAACCAATAAAACATCTCATATTTAATAATTAAACGAACTATGTTAACTCAATAATTAAACGGACATTTTACATAGTTCGGATCGTCGTTTCTCGTCTCAGTTTCATAAAAGTTCGAAAAATGGTATTAAATATCTGACAGAAATTATTCAGATTAAATAGCGTGCTAGCCCGACAGTCTGGCTAGAGAAGCTTCATCTAAATTCAAGATCCGCGCAAAGTTTTCCATAAATTTCACGATATTAAAGTCACATAACAAATCTTGACGTCCAACGGTGACCGTCATTACCATCATTATTCTTTGTTATTCAATTAATACCATTATATTATTTAATTGTCACCGTTCATTTTTGAAAGAAGTGTAAATTTATAATATTTCACTTGCGTTAGTCTCTTTTCACATACGAAAACTTTGCTATTCGTCTATCGATCGAAAAAAAATACCTGAAAATACACGGTGTTTTAAACATGATAGGAAAAACAGGGAGTTCTGAGAAATACATATTGAGTCGCCACTCGAGAACCAATACACATTTCTGCGCCACTTTATTCGTTCGATACGTATGTACCTACCTACACTGCTAGGCGTTGAAACTCGCGGAAACAGAGGAAATATTCACGTGTTCGCACATTGCTCAAAGAGTGGAAATTCCGTGGAATTTATTTAACGATTTCGCGTGAATAACAGTTCGAAACGGGGGAAAAAGGTGATGGAAAACAGCGCGGGATGGTTTTATATTTAACGGCTTAGAGTAAAATTTGTTCGCTAATTATATTCCGAATAAGGAAAATATTTATATTTACATCGTAGATATGGTATCTAATTGTACAGTTGGATCGATACAACGCGAATCAGCTGAAGTATTTTCGTTGTTTCTAAAAATAGCGAAAAATTCTGGTTGACATAATATTTTCGCCTGCGACCCACTTTCCGGGGACAAGGCCACGCTTGTTTTCGTAAATGAAACCATGTGTAGGGTGAACTGCAATTGGTAGGCATATGTTGCAACGTGCGAAAACATCGAAAAGGTGAAGGAAAAGTTTTTCCGTAAAATTTCAGTTTTTAAAGGATCACTGTTGAAACTTCCTTTTATGTATGCAGTTAGTCTGTGTGTCTGACTATTTTCTATTACATCTATCTGTTTTAATTTTAATGAATAATAACAATACTATTTCACAAGAAGTAGGATGTAAAGTAAAGATTGGGAAATAATTTGGTGGCTGGTAAATAGAGAATACCTACTGCTGGTGACTGTAAGCGAATATTGTAAGTAGAAATAGTGAATAATAAGCAGACATATTAATAAGTCATATACAGTAGTCATATTCAATAGTCAATAGGTAGTAGTCATATTAAATAATCATATTCAATAGTCATATTCAGTAGTCAATAGTTAGTAGTCATGTTCAGTAGTCAATAGTTACATAGTATTCATATTCAATAGTGATATTCCAATTTTCAAGTTAGATTTTTTCCAATAAGGAAATTTTGTATGGAAATATTTATTCTTGCTTTTCCATTTGTTTTTGCATGTACAACTATCTCTTCAATAATCTGACCAACTGCAGAATAATCTATAGTTTGTTACTGATATCATATTTGTAGCATTAAAATAGTTATATAGTGGTAGATGTTGACATAATTCTGGAAGTAACAAAAGATATTTCGAGAACAGTCAAAAGCGCGGAAAGTCAGAATATTGTGGAACGACGTGTTGGCAAAATCAATATCGCAACCCGTTCAAAAACCTTCGATCCCGAATTTTCATGAATTTTTTCACTCGAGAGCCCTCATTCGAGTGCGATTTCTGCTTTCTCAACTAGGTTGCATCCCACATATACCGCGCCCGTATTATAATCGATGCTAAAGTGAGCCCTGTTTAAAATTCAATGGCTCATCGTGTTGAGATTAATTGGAAATCAATATTCTATTATCGAAAGTAATATCGTCTGCTATCACGACCGATTCTTAACCAGATACGTGCCGGATAGATACATCATCCAGATGTCTTCATGCTCATGATTTGTTTTTGGATTATGGAACCGTAGATCGTTCATCTTCTGTCGTCGACAAGGTTGCTCGTTCCTTTAGGAAGTTTGTTAAAATTTTTTTTGTATATCAGTAGCTCGTAATCTATCGTTCTTTATGCTCTGATGGAAAGATAAAGAGCGTGGTGAAGCCTTAAAATATTGTTCTGTATTTGAAATACATAAATCTGAAAAAATAGATTTACTACTCGGTATCCTCGAAAAATAAAACTACTTACGAGTGTTATTACACTCAATATTTAAGTATATTTACTTAATTGAAGATTATCAGAAGTATTATCATTTTAATATAATTATCTAATATTGTTGCAGTACTATTCATTGAATAGTATCCAGTATTTGTTACAATGATTGAGAACTTTTTAAATATTCATGAACAAAGTATCTGTCGCTGTTATAAAAAAATTGTTCTTTTTATACTTTATAAGTTCTATTTAAATTAAAACTTTTGTTTTCAAAAATGTTTGTTTATCTGTCCTCATAGGAACTTATAATGTGAGAACGTTTTTTAAAAAACTTCCACTGTCCATGTTTTAAATAGAAACTATTAAAAAGTTCCATAACTTTTTCGATCCTTGTTTTGCACAGTTTCACGTTAATTTACATAGTCACAGGGAACGAAAAATACGTTTCCAGCGTTAAAGATGTCATTTTATTTCACGGAATTCAACGTTAGTTCGATCAGTTCCAGATGCACAGAATCCGCAGGCCGGTAATCAGATTATCAATAGCTTCCTTTCCGTGAAACGATCAGAAACCCGATATCCGTCGATAATCGACTGATTTCCGCGATATCTTTGTCCCGACTTCTATTAAGAATCGATATTCTCCACCCGAGATACCGTATCACTCATTGATCGTTTCCTTTATCGGTGGCGCTGGAGTAACCCTTTCGTGACCAGCGGGACGCGTATGTCCCACTTGAGGGCTCGAATTGCATGTGACATGCCAGGTCGTTCCTTTTGTGACCAGTGCGACAAATATCTGCCATTTGAGTGTTCGAACTGTGTGAGGCACACCAGATACTACAGTTTCCCGTATAAAATCGTAGTTGTGGAGTTCTTTGTGTTAGTGTGCGTTTTCATCTTGCTGTTACACAGTGTGTTTTCCTCTCTGTGTATTAGTCCTCCTAGTAAAAAATTAGACAGCAAAAAAAGCTTTGGACGCCAATAGGAATCTTAATTGGACCTTACAGAATCAGAAAATGAGAGTCCTTCGGTGAAAAATTATTTAGAAAACAAGATTTTTCGAAAATATCCAACTACCCAGTTTCGCCCCATATTCGACGTTTATCGATAACCTTATATAGATAGTCGTATCTGTACTTGGAAGATGAAGAGCATTCGGGACGACCATCTACGGTAGACGACAGTGTTATCCGTTTCTTAATGGATTCTTATCTTAATATTCAAGTGCATGAAATTTCTAGTGAATTGAACATACTAAAGTCTAAAAAAAAGTGTATAGACTCCTCTCGATTATTGTCCCGAACTCGGGTCCGCGCCAGGACAATAATTGTATAGGGAGAAATGTTTCAGGCCCTCGTAAATTCATTTTTTGCCCGAAGCCAGAACCTTGGCAGTAAAAGTGGAGGGGCAACAAAGTATGCGCTTGACAAGTTCCACCACCCCCCTCCCAGTGGCGGGATAACGCCTGGACAATAATCGTGTAGAACACGTCAGACGATAATCGAGAGGAGTCTGTATATTGCACGCATGAAAACTGCACGAATTTTCCAGAGGACCTAATCGAATATGAAAGTGTAACACATTTTTATTAACACCCTGTAGTAGATCGGCATATATTTCAAACGGTGAAATGCAATCCGCGTGTGCCCCATAGAAATTCTTTCCCACGCGACGCGACACGATCGTAAAACACGATCTCTGCGCTTGGGACGGTTTTATCGCAGCCGTTTGCCTTTGTCTTCGACCCCGCGAATACGGGTCGCGAGATAAGCCCCTCCCCGCTCCCGAAACTACTCATTCGGTCGCGCTATAACGGACGTGAATCCCTCTTTTGTGCGCGGGTGAAGAGTACAAATTATAGACGGAGAATTATGTGTGTCGCTCTATTCATCCGGTGTTCCACGGGCGTTACCCATCGACGATGGAATTTTATGGCGTGAACGTAATACGTTCCTGCGAGCATGATTTGCGTGTTCCATTCAACAGAAGTGTGGGATAATATAGGATAATTCTGATAGAGATATGGACCACGTTTCTTGAAAACGTCACTGTTGCGATGTGTAGCCGTGAAACAGGGTAAAATTAAAATACAGTAAAGTCTCTATATTTGTCAATCATGTGACTACTGTCCAGGGTGATTTGTAAATACATTTTAATGTTTCAGGGGGTAAATCTACACACTAATATAAGTAAAAAAAAAACGTACGTA